TTTCCTCCCAAGGAGCAAGCGTCTTTTAATTTCATGGCTGCAGACTCCCTCTGTGGTGATCTTGGCGCCCACATCAATTAAGTCTGTTACTGCTTCCATTTCTACCCCTTCTATTTGCCAGGAATTAATGAGTCCAGATGCCATGCCTCAAATCCTTCTGTTTCTTCATGTAATCCCAGACAGACCTGATGATGTTGAGATCAGGGTTCTGTGGGGACCAAACCAGCACTTCCAGGACTTCATGTTCTTCTTTATGCTGAAGATAGTTCTTAATGACATTGGCTGTATGTTTGGGGTCATCCTGCCCTAAGAATAAATTTGGGGCCAATCACACACCTCCCTGATAGTATGGCATCAGATAAGTATCTGCCTGTATTTCTCAGCATTGAGGACACTATTGATCCTGACCAAATCTCCATCTCCATTTGCAGAAATGCAGCCCCAAACTTGCAAGGAACCTCCACCATGCTTCACTGTTGCCTGCAGACACTCATTATTGTACCACTTTCCAGCTCTTTGGTGAAAAAACCGCCTCCTGCTCTCCTTGCCTGTTGTTGATTTTACTATGTTGTGTACCCCAATACAATAGTATTCAAATATCTTCATCCAAGACAAATTAACTGTGATTGAACCAGAAATTATGCCACAACAGAAGTCTTTTCAATTAATAAATTCAATTAATATGAAGGAAAAGATGAGAAATATAATGAATATAAAGAAAAAGAAATGTGAATGATAGCTTTATGTAGAATTCTGAATGAAATTGTTAAATAATAAAAAAGTAAAAAATGCATTAATAAATAAATACTATTTCCTTTTAGTGAGCTGGTCTTTGCTGTTTAACATAGGCTGAAATAGAATTATGTAGCACTTAGGGAAAAAAATACAGCCCAGTAATCCAGCACTAGAAGCCAGGATGGAGAAGACCTCCACAGCCACCATGTATTTTCCTTTTGTGCTCAAATAAGATGGAATAAAAGAGAACCACACACTGCAAAATACCAACATGCTGAAGGTGATAAATTTGGCTTCATTGAAAATGTCTGGCAGTTTCTTGGCAAGAAATGCCACAATAAAGCTAACAATGGCTAGAAAACCCAAGTAGCCCAGAACACAATAAAACATGGTGTCCGATCCTTCCTTACATTCCACCACAATGTCTTCAGCCAGAGTATGAAAGTCAAAATCTAGGAAAGGAGGAAATATCCATAGCCATATAGCACAAATCCCGGCTTGAATCAGGGAGCCGCCAAGAAGAATAAAGTTGGCCAGCCTTTTTCCTACCCATTTCCTCAGTCTGGATCCTGGCTTGGTGGCCATGAAAGCCAGAAGAACAGTGACAGTTTTGGCCAATATGCAAGAAACAGCGACTGAAAAAATGATGGAAAAAGTGGTTTGTCGTAAATAGCAGGTCAGGGTCTGGGGCTTGCCAATGAACAGGAAGGAGGAGTGGAAGCACAGCAGGAGGGATATAAGCAGATAGTAGGTTAGATCCTGATTGTTGGCTTTAACAATGGGGGTGTTCCTATGTGATGTGAATATCCAAAGCACCCAAAAAGTGATCAGAGATAAAGTCAGAGCCAAGAAGATTAATGTGATCCCCAAAGGTTCACTGAAAGAGAGGAAATTAATTCTCTTGGGAAGGCACTGATCTTGGTTTTTGTTTGGATAGCGATCTTCTGGGCATTGGAAACAATCATCTATGTCTGAAAGACAGGATATGTGCTGTGTTAATATCTAGAGGAGGATTCATTTTGCCATAACTCTTGCCATGAAATAAGTCCTTAAAATAGATAACCTTGACCAATTTTGATGTTTTAATTATCCTAAAGCTTTACGTGATTTAAATATAGAGTACGGGCATATTTGAACTGGATAAAAGCCAGAATTTCTAATAAGAGATTAGAAAAAAATTATTTGTGAAACTCATTCCTGACTCAACCTTACCAAGACCTATTGGCTGTGAGTTTTTGGGCCACACAGATCTGAGGATATTCCATCTTTCACCTTGAGTGGGACAGCACTTTCCTTTTCAAGGTTGGGAAGCAATCTGTGGTCTTCCTGGATGAGCAGATGTCAGCTGTGGCCAGGAAGGCCTTTGAACAACTCCATCTGGTATGCCAGTTGGGCTCTTTCCTAGATTGGGGGGTCCTTCAGACAGTCACGCATGCCCTCGTCACCTTGTAACTTGATTCTGCAATGTGATGTACATGGGGCTACTCTTGAAGACCACCTGTTCCAGAATGTGGTGGTGTAAGCAGTAATGGGCATGCCTCAGGATCATGTAACACTTCTGCTTCGTGAGGTGCATTGCTTGTAGTTTGCTTTCAGGTGCAATTCAAGTTGCTGGTAGTTACCTATAAAGTTCTACATAACATAGGGTCTGATTACCTGAGGGACTGCCTGTCTCGCATAACATCTGCCCAGCCAATTCAATCTTGCAGGGTTGGTGCACTCTGGGTTCCTTCTATTAAACAATGCCATCTATCGTTTCCCCAGAAGCGTGCCTTCTCTGTAGCAGCAACTTCCCACTGAAACAAGATGCCTGTGAGATCTGGGTGGCCCCTACTCTGCTCTAGTTTAGAGGACTTGTGAAGGCCTGGCACATTACCCAGGCCTTGGGTGGAGGAGAATGGGACCCCTCACTTCATCACACTTGTCATCTTCTATCATCATATTTTACATTTTATTGATTTGATTGTAATTGGTTTGATTGTTGTAAGCCACCCAGAGTCATTGAGAGTCAGATGATAATGATGATGATTTTCCATTCTTCTCTGAATGATTCAATAATTATGCTAGTGTTGACTAGAAGTTCCAGAATAAGCTATTCTTAAGTATATCTAATTTATTTTGTATTCGTTTCACTGAATGGACTTCAGCATGATTTAATCTGTACTTCATCTTTGATAGAAAGCCAAGGAAATAAATAAATACATAAATAAATGTCCCTCAAGTACAAAACATTTCTGACATGCAAGAAGAGACACACGTATCACAAAATACCTTGTAACTGAAAAAGTGGAGAGAAGAATTTTTGCATGCCACAAAAGCTTTAGTTTTAAGCTTTAGTGATGATTACTTTTTCTGTTTCACACAGTTATTTCTGGGTTTTCTAAAGATAAACTAACCTTGAATATGTTCTAAAATATATATAATAGCATGCTGAAGTGGAACTTGGGGGGAAGATCAAATTATATCATGTCTCCCATCTGATTTTCTTTTTTTGAACTAATGCACATCCTAGACAATATTCAGTTAACTATCTACACATACTTTCACACACCAAAACACATGCTACATATATTTTATATTTGATAAATGGGATAGAGATTTTCAAAAGGGCACATTTGCTCAGCCTTCTTTTAGTTGTAATTATTCTCTTTTTTTCACTTCTATTCATGCAGAGACACACCAACTTATTCTATCTTGTCCATGTCTGTAAACAATTGTGTGTACGTGCATTAAGAATATACAATGGCACAAGGAAATGTCTTTTTATGGGATAATCAAGTTGTAAATTATTGGTATTATATTTCATCCTACCCATCTGATCTGAAATCTTCCCATCTGCACATGGAACACAATCATAGCAGCAAAATGGCTTCCCTTCCTTCTTTCTTCTGCTGTAACCTGGATGGCAGTTCTCATTGCAAAGAGAAAGGGGTTGCACCTGCCCACCAAGGAAAGAATGTGAACAACTCTTCTATTTTATCTGAAAGATGTCACAGACACTGCAATTTTACCCAATGTCATCTGAGCTCATGCCTGACTATCAGATATGTGTACTTCCCTGAAGTAGAGCATAAACATTTTAAAATAAAGAAATTGGACATGAACAGATGGGAATAATGTATGAGCAAATGAAAGGGGCTTCAGGTAGAATCTGGATGGAATGCTTTCAAAATAGATAGAGAACTTTCCAAACTATCTTCTTGGAATAATATTCTTTTCATCTGATGTGTTTTAGAGTTGGTGAAGTAAAAAGATTGAGAAACTTAGTGCTGGTGACAATAGAACATTCTCAGGTGCTATTGAATGGAATTATCCTAGCAAGACAGGGCAAGACTGTCAAGCGTCATTGCACGATAATTTCTCAGCTAGCCTGACATTTTTTGAACCCAAATTGCATCTCACCTGATTAAATGAACTATGCCATATGATGGCATCTGTCTTAATGATGAGTTCTTTGTCCCATGGATCCATCTTTCCTACAGTTACTCTTAAGAAGGATTGGTTTGGGAAAGTAATCCAGTTTAGAATATCATATCCAGCTGTTAATTCACCATTTTCATTGAAAGACACAATATCCCCAGCACTATTATTGAACGAGATGCTCCTCAAGAAGGGGTGAATCTACAGAGGTAAAGGCACATTTCTCTAATCACCTTTTCTCCTACATTATTCTTGTTTTCATCCCTGCTTAGGGATGAAAGGTTAATTCATGCAAGTTTAAAATCTACAGTTTTACAGACTTCCAATGTGTTCAGCTATTTTCCTGGGAAGGCAGAGATAGCTGAAGACACTTTGCTACCTGTGATGGACAAAATATTGTCATCTCCACCATCTCATATACAAGAGGCAACCAGACAAGAAGTAGAATCTTAATTTGATACTGGCATCTTCTATTGCTGTCTGAAGATAATAAGCTCCTAAGCACATACAGGCTAAGCTTAATATCAAGTATATTTCTCATCAACATTCTTTCAGCATTCCTTCTCTGCCTTTATAATATAAGTTATGGAGCAGCTTCATCAGTTCATCTAATAGTAGGGAAGTTCCTGTTCCAAGGGATCAGATTTGGAATTCAATTTTGTAAAGGAAAAGGAATATTCCATATTATATATGGAGGGGTGGATTCAGGAGGTACTTATATATTCAGCAATCTTGAAATGTTGTCTGATTTAAGAGTTAAAAGCCACAGGGCAAATAGAGATTGCAAATAGAGATTGACATGTCTTAGTATGAAAGTATGTTACCATGTGCCATGAGCAGCGAATATAATAAAAATGTGCCGTGCAAGTGTGGAACAAATACTGGAGATACAAAACAAACACATAAACCCCCTACCTATAAAACCACCAGTGTTTTCATGAAGTGGCATTATTTGGACAGAGGATGACATTTACTGCTTAATATGCCAGTTATCCTGTATTAGACCAAAACTGAAATAGCAATAAAACATTACCTGCCAAGGTTGCAGATTCAGAGGAGCCAGATGACCTCTGTCTCTTGTTTCTGGCCTGGGTTTGTAGATCTTATACAAAGCATGTGCTAAGACATAAATGGCATTGTAAATTCTGTAGCTCTGGGAAGTCATGCTCATTTCAAAAAGAACCCCTGGCAGATGGCCCAGCTTCTCTTGCCCAGTGCATTCTTCTCCAGTATTACCAGAAAGTGAACAGCCAAATGCCTGTTCCCAGAAAACCTGAATAAATCGGTCATTGTTATCTGATTGAGGATCTACAACCTGCAGAAAACGTGTGAATCCCAGCACTTCATTTGAGTGAATTGCAAAAGATAAGGCACCATGGAAGAACTGGATTTCAAAATTCTTATGCAATATGTCTGATGAGAAATCCCAGTGGGCTGTCATAATCCAGATTTTATTTACTGATATATTTTCATTGCCTTCTATTAGTTTATCTATATATATCAACCATTTAATACATGTTATAGTCCTGGACTCTGCATATAAAATAAATACATTAACTTCAGATGAGGTTAATAAAATGGATCTGGGTGATTTCTTCATGAATAAGTCCATGTAGTTTAAATAATGAGATAAAGTTGGTATATTTGCAATAATGGCTGGGCAGATGCCATGCTGAGAAAGCAGTGGAGTTAAAGTCTGAACAAATTTTTCTCCATCATCATCATCTGTTGCAATGATCCCAACCCATGTCCACTGGAAATGCCGAAGAAGTTGTACAATTCCTGAGTATTGAACTACATCACTTGGCATCATCCGATACAAGAAAGGGAGATGTGTGCTTGCGTTCATCACTGGAGCAAATAAAAAAAAGGGAAACTTAAAAAAAAAAAAAAAAAAAAGACAAACATGAATTTTGTCAAATACTTGCCGTGACTTCATTTGTTCTTTGGTGCATAATTTTAATATGATTAAGCACTCCACAGAATAAGTCATTTAAAACAAACGATTTGAAAATCCTTCATCTTCTTTGAGTGGGGATTCTTCAAGATATTTGAAATGATGTCCATTTGTGGAAGCATTTGTTTAGTATTCTCATCAGTTTCAGTCTCTGCGCTCTGCCAAAAAGATATTGTATGGTGAATTGATCAAAGAACTTAAATTTGTTTATATTTAGTGAAATTATTCAGAAGACATCTGTTTTTGATATCAGGCATACATTTCTCCCATGAAAACAGTGAGGCAGTAACATCTGGGAGTAGAAGAGAGAAGTAGCAACTGGAGGGTGCAAGGCTCCATGTGGCCCTCGAAGACTTGCTAGGAAGAAGCCATGGCTAATGTGGGAGAATAGAAAATTGTTTAAACATATGAGGACATCATCATATTGATTGTATTTAACGTATTTGATTTAAATGTCAGTTATATAAATGTGAATTTTAGTCTAGCAGCTGATCTGAAAAATGTCTTCTACAAAGATAAAGTTAGGGTGGGGAAAAACTTTGGAAGCAGTCATTGTTTCTACCTGTGGCATTTTGTAGAGGCCTGTGAGGGTAGCCATAGAGAAGGAGATGGAGGAGTCTAATCCCCCAACCAGGGCCATCAATTTTTTTGCCTTCTCACAGCTGTAATTAGGAATGGTTCTTTTCCAAGCAGAAAGAAGCTTCAAAGTATTGTAATAAGTCATCCTTTCACTGGAATAACTGTCATAGATGTGTAACCCCAGAGTAAGATTTGGTAAGATTTGGGAATTGTCATTGATCTCCTTCACTGCAAATGCCATGGTCAGGACATGCTGGTAGTTCTTCAGCTTCAGACTGAAAGCAGAATTACATTATGAAAAAGAGATACCATCATCACTTTTTGAACCATTGGTTTGGTGTTGTCAGTGCATGTAGGGAAAACCTATATTATTGTTGAATGAAAGCTTTTAGCAGTCTTAGTCCATATGGCTAACAGTGAATAATGTTGACATGTGAAGTTCAGCAATATCTAAAGGGCCACAAGTTATTGCTGTTTGGATATGGATAGATCAGTTCTTCCTTATTTATAGAAATATGAATGTATATGCTTCTATTTTTCTCCTCTCCTCTCCTCTGTAAATTATGAGACACCTTAGACATATCCATTCCTCCTTTGTTTTTATTTTTTCTGATAAGGTTTGCAGTACCTAATGTGGAAAATCCTTGAAAGGTTCTTTCAAAAATCCTGACTATGGATAAGCAGCTGGAAATCTGTTTCTTCTCCCGTGTGTGTTTGTGTGTTTGTGTAATGTGTATAATTAATAATTCACATGATCCAGCACTTGAACTCCACAACTCACTTTTCTTTAATATGTAAAGAATGTAGTCATATTTCATATTCTCTTCCCACCCTAAATATTACACATTTGCTTCATAGATTGTTACTGAATGTTCTGAGAAATAGGATACTTAGCATAAATGACTCAGTATGCTCTGAGTGACACTAAGTTTTCCTTTCCCCCAGTGCAAAATAGCTTTGTATTCTAATAGCTTAAATTGTAGAAAATTTGTTCTCGTATATGTTTTCATGGAGATTCACATTCATTTTTCAATAGGAAATATGCTATACTTTGAGAACCCAAAAGATTCCTCTGTTTTCATTTCAGTAACATCTACTGAGAATTTTAAATTGTAGAAAATTTGTTCTCGTATATGTTTTCATGGAGATTCACATTCATTTTTCAATAGGAAATATGCTATACTTTGAGAACCCAAAAGATTCCTCTGTTTTCATTTCAGTAACATCTACTGAGAATTTTAAATTGTAGAAAATTTGTTCTCGTATATGTTTTCATGGAGATTCACATTCATTTTTCAACAGGAAGTATGCTATACTTTGAGAACCCAAAAGATTCCTCTGTTTTCATTTCAGTAACATCTACTGAGAATTTTAAATTGTAGAAAATTTGTTCTCGTATATGTTTTCATGGAGATTCACATTCATTTTTCAACAGGAAGTATGCTATACTTTGAGAACCCAAAAGATTCCTCTGTTTTCATTTCAGTAACATCTACTGAGAATTTTAAATTGTAGAAAATTTGTTCTCGTATATGTTTTCATGGAGATTCACATTCATTTTTCAACAGGAAGTATGCTATACTTTGAGAACCCAAAAGATTCCTCTGTTTTCATTTCAGTAACATCTACTGAGAATTTTAATTTTAATTTATCACATCCTCAATTCAAGAATGTCTGTTCACTACTTTGAATGACAGAAAAAGCACAGACAGGTCTTCAGCCATAGAATATAATGAAGCAAGTACAAAGCAGTTGAAATCGTAGCCAGTTCAGCAAGTCAATTTTCAGCAGAGTGAAATAAAATAACATACAATTAAATAATTTATTTTTAATTTATGTTATGTTATTTTTTGCCCTGCTGGAAATTGACTTGCTGAACAGACTGTGTATTCAACTGCTCTGTACTTGCTTCATTATTTCTAAACATTCTAAAGCCTGTCAATCTTTTGGGAAAGACATATACATAAATTAATTAAATGATAATTAAATGCAGGAGGAGGCTTGCAAAGATATAAAATTTGGCTCCTTTGCTGAAAAATCCACAGCATAAGCAAGATAGAGAATTAGATTAAAAGGAATACTGGGTATGATGAAGGAAGAAACAAAGATTATAAAGCTATGAGAAACTGAACAAAAAAGTCAGAACAGTTTCAAGAAGGTAAGAGTCAAGGCAGCGGGTGAAACCTGAAACTCATGGTGAAAAATGAGATTGACTAACAGGAGAATATAGAAAAGGGGGGGGGGGGAGGAAAAATATCAGGTGTATTTGGATCCAGATTTAGGAGTGGACCTCAGGTTTGGTCATACCAAATTTAACTTCCGTTAATCTAGTTTGTAACGTAGAACAAGACAGATGTAGTTTGCTGAATATTCCATTGCGAGTACATATTTGTGACCTGAATTTTGAGAAAGAAAGAAAGAAAAAGAAATCCGTACACAAGTTCGCATAAAGGCTTCATTCTGAAACTTTCACTAAAAGATGGTTTCTCAAATACGCAGTTATACTGAGTTGTAATGGCTCCTATGATTAGGTCCCCTGTCTGACAATATTCATTGAGGATCTGGATGGGCTCCATAATCATACATATAATACCCTGTGTTTTGCATTCAGCTGAACGCTGCTGTAGCCACAGTATGAGCAAAAGCAACAGAAATATTTTTGCCATTCCAGCAAAAGGTGGTTCAGATTTCACACATCAGTAGTGTCCTCCATCATTAGTCCAGATATACTATCATGTCTTGAGTGACTTCAGATACTTTTCATGAAGGTAAACTTTCAAAGATGGCCTGATGGCTTCAACGGTCTCTCAGTCCAGGTTGGAACTGCACGGAGTTACTTGATATAAGCTTCCAGAAAGTGTTAACGTTGTATGAGTGACTTCAGGAAGGCCTCATAGGGTTTGCCAAGATGGGGATGATTGCTAGTACTTTGATTTGATTGCTAGGTTAATGCATAGTGAAGGCACTCTGTGTTGCACAGGGGAAAAAGTAAACATAATTGTTCAATCTCCCTCTGGCTTGAGACATCAGTGGCAAGTATAGCAAAGAGAGCTAGATAGAAATGGCACATTTGGAATGTCAGGAAGATGTGGGCTCTTGCACAAAATGGTTTGCATAATAGGTAGGGCCAATTGCTAAAATGGTCCCTTTCTTAGTGGGTCTAAACACACCTTAGATGACCTAGTAACTGTGTTGGCTGTGATAAACATTGGACTTGTAGTAATATTGCTTTCCAGTCAAGTTTGGGTTCCTATCCCTATTTCGGAGCCTTAGAGCTCTTGTGCTCTCCTGTTGGGGACTCAGTATAGTCTACAGATCTGTGTTCTGTGCATTTGTAATCTCTTCCCCCTTCTCCTTCACTTGACATATCTATCAAGGGAAATTCCCATCACTATGTTCTTTTCAAAGCTTCTGAGGCTCTCTGACCAAAGCCTTTTCTTCATTTCCCTTCCTCTCATATTCTACTGCAGTGGATGATATTCATTCTCATCCCTCTTTAGTTATTAATGTTCTATTTGCCCCTTTCCAACTCTGCACCTTTCCTCCTTGTAAAATAGAATTCATTGTATTTTGTAAAGGCTGTAAAAGTTCATCCTCAGAACAATATATATTAATAATATCATCTCAACCTTCAAAAGCTCTTTGAAATAATTCATTTAAAAGGCTTATGGAAGGTCAGCAGTATGTGGGATAACTGAAACTCCATACTGCAGATATACCCACTGAGAAATTGCACCTAAGAGTGCCAGTCCCTGTTTAACTCTCAAAAATGGGAAACTAAGAGCAGTGTCTCCTGGGATGCATGGATTGGATAGGTCAAATCTGGTTGGAGAAGGTCCCTGTTTAACTCTCAAAAATGGGAAACTAAGAGCAGTGTCTCCTGGGATGCATGGATTGGATAGGTCAAATCTGGTTGGAGAAGGTCCCTGTTTAACTCTCAAAAATGGGAAACTAAGAGCAGTGTCTCCTGGGATGCATGGATTGGATAGGTCAAATCTGGTTGGAGAAGACAGCCTGGAAAATCATTTGGTGCCAAGACATACAAGACAAGTCAAAATAAACACTTTCAATTATATCTAGAAGTCAGTAGGAAGCCAGCATGGGATCTGAAGCACTGGTGTAATGTACTCAAGGTGCCATTTACCAGTCTGCTACATACTGGACCAACTGTAGTTTCTGAGTGGTCTTCACAGGCACTCCCATGTAAAGAATCGCAGTAGTCCAAGCAAGGGATGATAAAGGAATAAGTCAACACTGCAAGATTCTCCCACTCCAAATGTTTCCACAAGTGCTTCACCAGCCAGAGCTGGGCCAAAATTTGGCTGGCCACAACCTCTACCTGTCCAAACAGCAGTTGCATGAGTCCAGGATGACCCCAAGTCCGAGACATATTCTCCCATACAGGCCCTCGTAGCCTCCAGACACTGGGAGAAGATACTGACAGCATCTCCTGCATAGTGATGTATCATTAGGTACTACCACCATACTGATAGTTCTGTACTTCAAACTGATAAATTCATCTAAATGGTAAAAAGTTAGGCCCCCACCCTTTTAGCCTTCCAGAAGACCATTAAGGGCTGGCTTTTTTGTGTGTTTTGGGTTGATTGTTGGGGCATCTGAAGGGTGTTGGGTTTGGGTTGTGTATTATGTTTTTATGGTTTTTATAATTCAGTTTTTTATTGTTGGGTTTGTATGGCTGCCCAGAGTTGTGTTTTAAGATAGTGGCCATACAAATCTAGATTAAACATTTGTAAACTAGACAAATGAGGCACCCAGATGTAGATTCCAGAAAAATGACAGGTTTTGAATGACAAACTCCACTTTTTTTTCCTTGTAAAATTTTGGGCAAATAGTTGAGAATCAGATGGACCAGTCTTAAAATTAATCATAATAAAAATTCTCTAAGGAGGCAAGAAATGTTTTTTTTCATGATTTCAAAATAGATTTGACTACTGTAAATGAAATATATTTCCTTTTTATTTCTGATAGAAGAGTCATACCATGGGGAGATCTCTGATGCTTAGTCCATAAGTTTTAATTTAGATTTAAATTTAATTTAGTTAGGAATATCAATAGCCATTTAAACAGAGAAACATTTATTTCTTCTGACAAGGATCTTCACAAAGATATTTTTCTTCCTCTCATGCTACAATATTGATATGCTAAGTGGAAATCATCTAATGATCTCATATATCTGTCAATGATACAAAAAAGTTAATGGAATAATTATATGCCTTGACTGTTTTCTGTTTATTAAATAATCTCTTTTATTTAGTTCTGGCCTCAGAATAACTATGCAATATTTTGGGAGGAAGATGCAACCCAGTAACCCAGTATTGGAAGCTAAGATAGAGAAGATCTCTACTGCAATTATGCATTTCTCTTTTGTAGGTACATAAGGTAGGGGGAAAAAAAACCTTAACCAAAACTTACAAGACAGAGCAAGCTGAAAGTGGTAAACTTGGCTTCATTAAAACTATCTGGCAACTTTCTGGCAAGGAAAGCCACAATGCAGCTCCCAAAACCAAGAAGCCTATGTAACCCAGCACATGGTAAAACATTATCAAGACCCCTCATTGCATTCCAACAGTATTTTTTTCATTGACTGCATCCATGTCAACATCAGGAAATGGGGGAGAGGTAGCAGGCCGCACTGTTTGGATGCCTGCTTGGACAGAAGAGCAGAGAAGAGCCACTCTTCTTCTCACCCATTTTCTCAAGTTGCTTCCTGACTTGGTGACCAGGAAAGCTTGAACTACAGTGATGATCTTTGCTAGTACACAAGAACAGTCACTGAGAAAATTGTCCCAAATATAATGTGATGGAGGAGACACTTTAACTTCTCTGGTTGGCTTATTAACAACAAAGCACAAGGAAAACAGATCAGGAAAGAGATCAGGCATCTATAAGTGAGGAGCTGGTTATTGGCTTTAACAATGAGAGTGTAATGCTAATGTTTCACAGGGCCTTAAAGACCTGGCTCTTCACCATGGCTTTTCTTCCTTTCTGTTCCCCTCTAGGTTTATTTTCTTTGCCATCATTGTTGTTCTTTCTTGTGCTGTTTTTGTGGCCTTCTTTTTTTCTTTTGTTTTTTAAAATGGACATTGAGAGGGTGTTCAAATCATTCTGCCAACTGCAGGAACTAAGATATGAATGAATGACCTCAACCTTCATTGGATAAGGCAGAAGAGAAAGAAAGAAAGAAAGAAAGAAAGAAAGAAAGAAAGAAAGAAAGAAAGAAAGAAAGGATGACCAAGCAAAATGGGTAGCCCTTTCCTCCCTTGCTGGAAAAAAAAACTACTAATGAATAAGCAAGAGGTAAAGTGGAGAAAACATTGGGTACAGAATCAATTGGCAGTTTGACTCATAAATTTTACCCATGAGAGAAGTGCCCACTGGATTTGGGCTAAGAAGAGAAGAAGCAGTCTGTATTCAATTGGGCCAGGTAGAGGGGTCAAGATGCCAAAAGAGAGATAAAGAAATCCATCTACATGAGACTTTGTGCAGAAATTATGGTGATTTCCAAACCCAGTTTTTGAATATATGACATTTATTGTTAATCAAGATTTTCTGTTCTCATATTTATGACATAACAGAATCATCACAGAGATATTACCTGCCGTGGTTGCAAATCCTTATTCTCATATCTTATTTTGGATCTGGATTGGAAAGAGTACAAGGCATGTACAGAATATGCCAAAGCAACTGTCCAGAGTGTTCTGCAGTGAGATGGGCTGTGACAAATTTGAAATATAAATAAATAAAATAGACTGCACTGTAAATACTGTAACTGTGACTATCACAGTCACTTCAAAGAAAGTCCAGGAAGGCTGTCCAGTCCAGTCCAGTGCAGCTTTTCTCAATATTCTCAATAGCATCTGAGTTTGGAAATGAACAGAGACTTCCAGGGAAGAAATGGCAAACAGAGAAGCTGATGACCATGGTGGAATGAAGAGCCAGCATATAGACCAGCTCTTTGTAATTTCTCTCTGGACAAGGAGTGGACTTATGATTGCCCACAAGTGCTCCAGACAGCTCCTTCTCACAAGGAGACCACAAGACAGTGGTCTCCAGTGGGGTTAGACAAGCCATCTTGGTCAAACTGTGGTTGGTGCCTTTAAGGACACTGGGTTTGCATACTTCCTTTCTAATCACTTTTGGAAATTGCTTGTTAATCACTTTTTAGCTATTAGGAACCTTTGAATCAACAAGTCTGAAAACACCAGGTGAGTTTCCTTCAATCCTTAGTGAAAGAAGTTTTAAATACAAGTTTAAGTATTTTTTTTTTAGTAAATAGCAAAAGGGTGATTAGAACTTTGATTTTGGAAAGTTACAAATGGACTAAGGGTCCAGAGTGATTTGAAATAAGATTTTGGAATTAATTATAAGAATCCTTCCTGTAGGAAAATGCTTTTGTTTTGAATTTTTTTTTTTTTTAAGTGACAGGATGAGATGTTGACGGTTGGACACTAGAGGGAACCAGAAGGAACTAAAGATTACAATTAAAGGAGAAGAACACTTGTAAGTCAAAATTGCAATTACATTTGACTTACTAATAAAGAATGAAGCAAAACATTTTAACACTTGACATATTGAAGGATATTTTTGAACAATGGACCCAGAAGTTAATTTTAAGAGTGCCTGCCTCTACAGATAGACTGTGTTTAAAAAATGTTATGGAAAAGGAACAACTTTTACCTGACAAGATTGAGACTGAAAGTAGATTTAAAAATGGCAGGCTACAAGAATGATATGGAAAAAAATGCTACACTGAACATACAAAAGAAACCAGTTGATGTCTTAATAATTAAAAGGGATATACAAATAACAAACCAAGGAAGTGACCTAGATAATTTTCCTATATTGGATTTACAAAAGAGGCTTGTTAAAGCTTTGAAGATCCAATATAGATCTTCACTGTTAAAAGTAAAAGAAAGGAATATAAAGTTGACTTATTTGATTAAGGTTAAAATGGATACATTGTTATCTCTGGTAACCCTTAATAGATTTTTGCTGATCAGGACTGAAATGACAAGGCTTTAAGGATTTGTTTATAGATAAGACATGGGATATGGGAAGAAGAGATCATATTTTGTATTTTAAGGGAAGGTGATAAGTTAGTAAAATTGTTTATGCTTGTGAGAAAGGGGAAGTTGTTTTTTTATATATTTCTTTTCTTTTTCTTTACTATATTCACTTTTTCTTTTCTATTTTTCTTTCTATTTTTTTCTTTTCTATATGTTCTTTTTTCTTTTTATTCTTTTATGTTTTTAGCTTATATTTGTTTTTATCTTTGTGATTGTAATTTTTTATAAAATTACTATTTAAAAAAGAAAAGAAAAGAGCAGCCAAATGCTTGGCCCCAGAATATTTTGATGATGCCATCTTCCTTGGCTAGATAAGGCTTTAAATTCTGAAGATTATGTTTGAATCCTCACAAACCTCACATGGGTGGACTGTGAATGCTAAAGCCCCTTTGAATGGTTCTATAGTCCAAGGCTTTTACATGGTCAGTGCTGCAAAATCCAACTGTGCTGCTCTAATCCATACTTTAGCAAGTAATTTCTCATTGTTAGATTCTTCTTCATGCAAGAAACCTCTCAAATATTGCATGTTCTTTTTTTCTCTATGGACCGCAATGGCATTAGCCTTACTTTCCTTAACTTCTACAAACATTTCATTCCATCTTACTGGCATATTTAACACGTCATTTAAAAAAAATATTGTGGAAATGTTTGTTCTGAAGGCAGAACAGATGCCATTTTGAGAAAGTATTTCTAGCATGCTTTGCAAAAAAAAATTCTCCACTATCTATGGTACAATAAAGTTAAGATTAATGTAGATTTTAAAAAAACATTACAAGTGCCATATTGAAAATATGGAATAGATACAGACCCAGGCTATGCCTGAAAATGCCTTTGTGGATCTCAGCATAAGAAGCACTTTATAGAAAAGAAACAGGACATAAAGAAAAATGGTTAACAGAGTTGTTAGAACAAGAACATGGAGAATATAAGATGAAGTCTAAAGAGCAACTGACTGCAGAGAGATTTAGTTTCTAATGATTTTCAAATGTACAGTTGAGAGAAAGATTTAAAGTAGACAAAAGGACATTTGGAATTGAACAACATAAGACAGAATTTGAAAATGAATTACGTGTAAATGATGAACATGTAATTGCTAAAATGTATAAGCTTTTACTGAAATTTGAAATGGAAGAAGAACAAGGTAAAGAGTATATGATAAAATGGGCTAAGAACTTTGGTTATTATATAAAGATGGATCAATAGGAAAATATGTGGTTGGAAAGGTAGAATTCACATTATGTTACAATTTAAAAGAGAATTTTTATAAAATGATGTACTGTTGGCATATGACACCAGAAAAAAATTTCTAGAGTATATAAAGGTTCTTCAAATATATGTTGGAAATATTTGATTCTGATTCTGATTCTGAAATGTGGAATCCTTAATAAAAAATTATATGCAAAAAAAAAAAAAAAAAGAAAGAAAGAAAAAGAAAAAAGAAAAAAGAAAAAAGAAAAAAGAAAAAAGAAAAAAGAAATGTGGAAAATATGAAGGGTCATTTTATCATGCTTGGTGGACTTGTAGAAAAGTCAGAAAATTCTGGGTTCAAATACATACAGTGATGCAAAGAATGCTAAAGATTAATATTCAACTGAAACCAGACCTTTTTTTTGCTGGGACTAATGGATAAACAACTAGAAGAGGCTTATGGGATATTGTTTCTGTACATGATAACTGCAGCAAGACTATTATATGCACAAAGATGGAAAGACTGAAATACCCACAATGGAGGAATGGTTGGTGCAGATGACAGAATTTGCAGAAATGGCAAAGTTGACTTGATTGATTAGGGAAAAAACAAACTATATTTGTCAGTATCTAGAAACCCTTTAGGTGCTTTTTGCTGAAAATGGAAAAAAAATGAACTTGTGATTTATGGGTTTGTCTTTTTTATTTCTTACTCCTTACTTTTCACTTTCTTTTCTTTTTCTTCTTTAAACTTGTATTGTTTTCACTCCGTAAATTTTTTTCAATAAAAATTAAGAAAAAAAGAAAAAAAGAAAGTTATCCACTCTCATCATCCCTAGTTATTAGACCCACCTACATCCACTGGAGATGCAGAAGTTGCACAATTGGTTTGTACTGATGGATTTCATTTGGAACCATATGCTATAATGAAAGCAAATGTCACTTTTTGTGAGATGGGCAGCTATATAAATGTGATAGATAAATGAATGAATGAATGAACGAACAAACGAACAAACGAATGAATGAATGAATGAATGAGACTGCCCCTTCAGCATAGGGGTGAAATCACCAAAGCTGAACTAGAAAGGGGAAAGGTACATTTTGTAGTTTGCTATCATCATCATCGTCGTCGTCGTCGTCGTCTCAGTGAAGTTTCTGGATTTAAACTGTGCATCTTTCTGGTAGAATAAATATTCAAAAACACTTAATATTGAGGGGATTGCCACATGCTGAAAAGGAATTTCATGTACACCTCTGTATCTCACATATTCATATTTACATATCCAGATGGAAAATTATATTTCCTTAAAACTGGGAAATCCATCTTTGATGATTAGAAGAAGCCAAATTATCTACTATTTATTTCAAAAGAGACCATGGAGGGACAATAAAATAAAATAAAAAGAGACAATAAAAAAGCTAAGAAGGAAACAAAAAGATCAGAACATATCCTCTCCAGCAGCCAGCACCCAGGTAAGCACCCAGATTGTTTGTCTGGTTAACTCCAGACAAACATTAAAGCAGAAAAAAATACCATAATCAAGGAACTACCAAGGAGAAATTCTACATTTCCTTCTTGAATTTTAGAAATCATTTTCTTCTCTCTCTCTTTCTTTAATTTGTATGCTAACCATCTTCCTGGTTTATTAGCAAATTCAAAATGCCTCTGTTTAGCATATCTTAATTTCATTTCAATTTCTTTCACAGTCAACATTGAAACTCGTTGGTGTAAAAACTTAAGTTGACAGACAGTATTAGTATCAGACGGTTTTTTCTGCAGCTCCTTCTCCTTCAATTTAGTCTGATCTAAGACCATTTGTAATTTTTGTTGAGACTTTTTCTTAAGAATGCAATTATAATAAATGAAATTTCCCCTCATAACTGCTTTACTGGTGTCCCACACTGTTTTTAAATCTACATCTTTATCTAAATAAATCTCAAAAAAGTCCTTTAATTTCCTTTTACAGTCCTCCGCAACATTTTATTTTTGCAAAATAGATTTGTTCAATCTCCACCTAAAGGACCTAGTAAATTTTCTAATTATCATGCTTACGGGATTATGATCAGAAAAAGTCTTTGGTAAAATATCCACTGTAGAAATTTTATTTGCCAAGTCCATTGGAACCCATATCAATTCTTGGAAAAATTTATGTTTCTCTGAATAAAAAGTAAAATCTTTTGCCAGTCCATTTTTATATTTCCATGAATCCACCAATGCCAAATTATCCATTAAATCAAAAAAAGATTTTGGTAATTTTCCTTGCTTGCTTTTAATTTGCTTTTTACATGTTCTATCAATCAATGGTGAAGCAACTCCATTCCAATCTCCCATCAAACACTAACTCTTGTATGAGAAAGCTGACAATTCATTCAAAAGCTGCATAAAAAGTTTGCTCTTGTCATCATTCATATTCCCATGACAATTATTTTAAGTCCATATATCTCCACTTCAACAACTACATATCTACCATGATCATCTGTTAACAACAGATGTGGTTTTAGGTGATTTTTGACATATAGAACAGGTCCGTTTAATTGCTTCAAATTAGCTGAAACAAATTCTTGTCACAAATTCTTATTTATCAAATATCTTCTGCATAAAGATGGGTTTGAAGTGTCTTACATGGAGTATAAATGGGGCAAATGCTCTAGAGAAAAGAAAAAAGTTTTTCACTATCTAAATAAATTGAAATATGATGTAATTTGTCTACAAGAAACACATATAAAGAATAAA